AAAAAAAAAAAGTATTTATTTTGATTATTAAATGATTAAAAAAATCATTTTAAGTCTTTTATACATCCAAAATATTTCCCAATGTTCTGTATTTTGAGGATGAATTGCATTAATATAAAGCATCGTATCTTTAAGTAAATTTTAACAGTTCCTTTCAGTTATGATGCTATTAACCTGAGGTAGACAGCAACTATTGACATATCACTTTACAGAGATGGAAAACTTCAAGGTGAAAAGGTGAAATACCTTCCTTATGGTCAGGTCATAGGACTGGAAATAAAATTTTGACATATAATAAAACATTTTATGTGCATATTAACTTGCTCTTTCTTCTAAAGAAAATACATAAATAAGTTAGCTTTCACCATTTGATTAGGAAAATTACTTTAGGTACAAAAACTGGAAAATCAAGAAAGCAATCTGATAAGTGAAAGTAGGTCAAAGTTAAGAATGCTTAGCAAATGGATGAATAACCTACTCCCTATTTATTCTTCAGACACATAAGCTGATTGTTTGTTTAGCTAACAATGTCTTCTTAATTATAGGCTATTAATAAATGAAATTGTCCCTGTAAGTAGTAGAATGTTTGAATTTCACAAGTCGTATGTTTCATTCCAAGGAACAAAATAGAATCTAAGAGAAAAGCATTAAATGAACAAATTAACGTTAGCTTTTAGAACTAAAAGTTTATTAAAACCTCAGAAACCTCATTTTACTATAGATGGGAATTGGGTGAATTCGTCTTGGCTCTATTCAAGAAAGTGAAGTTAAATGAATTTCTAGACAGGCCTCATCATTTGGAAACTCCTAAGTCTAGGACTCAGAGCATAGTGTGAATTATAGTGAGGCCTCCGGGCATGGTGTATGAATCTGCTAATTATATTTCCCTATGGTGACACTAACCAGTATTTGAGAACACACATCAAAACCTTGAGTATAACATTGTTAGTTCAACTCTAAAATTATAAAATATCTATTTTTCTACTGTGGGTTTTTACAAAACACGTTTTAATTTGAAAAGATCGGTTTGAGCCACTTATGATTTTCTCAGAAATGTATGAATTGGCAACTCCTGTCCCAGCGCAGTAGCTATAATAACAGAAAACTTAGCAATATGAGACTGAGTCATCCTCACACACCAGATGACAGGATTTCCAACTATACAGTTGAGAACTGTGTGATTCTTGATGGTCTATGATGTGGGAAATAAGTTTACAGGTTATTTTTTTAGAATGTTAAGGGGGCTAAAGATAAGATGTGGTAGGAAAAAGTCTTAATGCTGGAGCTAATTACCAGAGTTGCTTATATGATTATTAAGGTTTACACAATTTGATCCTGAAGTCAGTAATCCATTTTCTTCTGAATGAATTGAATGACTGTTATTAATGACTTACTGTAGTCTTGGGACTTCTTCCCTTTAAGGTTTTAAATCTTCTGCTTTACCTATTTTATATTTAAAGATATTCTTATTTTCACCTGAAATAGCTTTCTTACCAAATAATCCAATGGGTGGCTAATTCACCCTCAAGGCACCTAAATTAATTACAGCTCATTTCTTGTATAGTTGCGATATGAGGAAATGGTTCTGCAAATTTGCAAGAGGGGTTCAAAATATTCCCCTCACGTCTTTGGAAAATGACCTTGAGAAGATTAAACTGATCATTAATACTCTGCTATAGATATTTCGAATGAAAATATGAAGTATGGTGAGTTGTGTATAGGAAATGAGGTTCTTTGGTGTATAATTCTGTTCCATTAGTACTTCATAGACTTAGATGTACGATTTCATAAATACCGTGTTCCTTAAAACAGTTCATTTTCTATAGACTCTTAGATATTTAACTCGAGCATACAGTCACACAAATTCTAAGAGTCCAGGATGCACATATAGACAAAATATGATTGTGCAGATGATAGATAGAACTACTTATTGAGAAGAATAATATTAGCAGCAAGGAACCGTAGTGCTTACTATGCTCTAAGCATAGTTTTAATAACCTGTTTTGTTTAATTCTCACAAGACTAAAGATATCTGTTACTATTATTTCCATTTTACAGATGGGAAAACTAAGTCACAGAGAGATTAATCAACTTTCTCAAAGTCACCCTGTTCATGAAAGACAGAAAATAAATTGAACAGTTATTCTGTCACCAGTGGCTGTTCTCTTTGCTATCTGCACAATGGTGCTTAGGACTGGGCTGCAGGGAAAAGAAAAAAAGGATAAGGTTTTGGAAATTTATATTTGCTCACCTGAGGTACAGTGAGTAGGAGTCATACAGTTTGAATGAAGAAAAATTGTTCTAGAAATTTAAAAATGTCAAATGTGTATTTTACAGCTTATGAGTGTGTGTGCACCTAATTGTTTTAATACCGTAAGAGGGCAACTTTACCCGTAAAATTAAGAAAGACTAAATGTTTAGTTGTCTGTGCCCTTCCAGATACAGTTATCCCATTCATTCACAAAATGTTCTAGATCTATAATGTGGAAAATATTATTATGCTAATTATTTCTAGTTGCCTCGTTTCCAAAAGTATGAGACCTGATTCAACTGAAGAGGGAGATTCATTGGCTTGTTTAGGCCACTAGGGTGCTCCATTGCTCTAAATGACGTCGCAGCGTCTGGTTGAGTTTATCTAGAACATGAGATAAACCGAGCGTGTTATGCTCATTGAAAATATCAAGATGATAGGACATTGACAAAAATGCTGTACACCTCAGAAATCTGAAGAAGAAAATGGAGGATAGCAAGAGTGAATTAAGGAAAACTCTGATTTGCAGGATAATTTTTAATTGTTTCATTAATTTCTAATACTATGCATCCTTAATTTATAAGATATAAATATTTAAAAATGATGTCAACAAAAATAATGTGCAATATTTATCTTCAGTTAGTAGGTGGTTATTAAATACTTAATGAAAAACCTAACTAAAACAGTTTGACATATAAATATATTTAATAGATTTAACCTACTGGAATTTTTACTGAAGGATCACTTAAGCCAAATGGAAATTACTGTTAATTTTCAATGTTTTATTTTATTTATGTTTTATTTATTGCATAAACATTTTGAATAAGAATGTTTTGAGATTTTAAGTCAGAGTATTATATAAACAAATTTTTACAATATGATATTTTTATTCCGTAGGGCCATTTGTTTAGAAAGGAATTCTTTTTAAAGCTGGCTGTATGAAAAATTTCAAACATATGCAAAGGTAGAGAGAATAGATTAATGAACTTTCTCCATGGCTAATCCTGTTTCATCTCTTCTCCCTCCCAATGTCCTCCTCCACCATTAGATTATTTTGAAGTACATCCCAATGTTAAATCACTTTACTAACAAATACTTATAAATATTTTATTATAGAAGTCCTTTAGATAAAAATCAAAGATTTATTATTAAGTCACTTTAATTAGTACAGGCCAGTCAATCCATTTTAGCTTTCACAGACATGAGACCGCTGCTCATGACAGAAGCCTGCCTTTGGAAGCCATGGCATCATTTTTCATGATATAAACAAAATAATTCTCAGGGGTTAGCTTTCCCCCAAAACAACACTGGCTTGCAAGATGTTCTACGTAGGCTTGGAGACAGCCCCAGACGTGGGCAGCTGGTGCAGACCAACTTCTTCTATTATAAAAAAAAAAAAACACAAAATAAATTGTGGAGTTCTAAATATTACATCCAAACAGAACTAAGTATGAAAGATCAAGGTTCCAAAAAACATACAATTACATCTTACTTTAATCAACATTTTATGAGGTTGAGATGCTTCTGTGACAAATTAAGTAAAGTTACGTATACGTTATTTAGTAACAAGAATGCTTAAGAATCCCTGAAATATCATGGAATTACTAGCAGTAATTTGTGACTTGTTCAAAGACAGTGTTTGTAAATTGCTTTTCTCTGCTGCTTGTGTTTAAGCAGAAGTTTGCACTCTATTTTCAT